CTCTCTCTCTCTCTCTCTCTCTCTCTCTCTCTCTCTCTCTCTCTCTCTCTCTCTCTCTCTCTCTCTCTCTCTCTCTCTCTCTCTCTCTTCTCCCAAAAGACAATCTCCAAATCTATCAAGTCAGCTGCGCATCCACCCCACTTGCTGCCTTCCTGCTGAACTTGTATCTCTCTGCTGTCTCCAACAGAAGTGTAATATAATGATGAAGCCTTCCTACCGGACACTAATTCAAAATTAAAACAGAATCAAACAGATATAAATAAATTAGAAACACAAGATCCGAAATCTGCAGCGTAAATCAAATTGCTCATCGACTCATTTGTGAAGAACTTCAATCTTGAACAAAGGAAAGGACATTCACGTGTCATGAACCGGTGTCCGGATGACGTGGTAATTGCTGACCTGGCATTTGCTGACTTGGCATTGGCTGACTTGGCATTTGTTGTCCAGGCATCTGCTGACTTGGCGTTTGTAGTTGCTTTGCATTTGAGGGTGTGAGTGAGAGACGGGTGGACGAGGGGGGTTGCGTGCTATGCCGCTCTCCAATGTGCTGGCCTACAGGTGACGAAATGACTAAGGTAAGACGTGGTGACGATGCAGGTGCTGCCGACACGACACTGCAAGACGAGCTCATGTGTCTAAGGTATGGCCTGCTTGGCTCAAACGATGCCGGCAGTTGCAACGGCGAACCCACGGGATTGCCAACAGCACTGTCCATGGTTCCCCCATCATCCTCCCTCCCATCTCTCCCCTTCCTCGTCGTCACCGCATTGTCAGTGTGGAAACCAGCATGACAGCTTGAAATGCCACTACTGATGCGAAGATCATGTATCTGTTGCATTTCAAGCCTAAGCTGCTCGACCTGCACGATAGGATGAAGTATGGTGACCCCAACAGAAACACACCCAGGACAATTTATTATCAGCGAGAGATGGGTGACAGACGGAACAGAAAAGACATGATCAACGCAATGGACGACAGACTCAACAGACAGCTTGAGACAACCCTTTAGATCATGTGTCTGTCGCATTTCAATCTTTAACCACTAGTACTTCCGTACCTTCTTTTGTCTAAGCGAATTCTCCGAATTCTCATCGCGCGGCTCGAGCCAAAGAGAAACAATTTTTTCCCCTTTTGGGCCTGGCATCACCAGCCATTTCGGTCTGGTAGGTCGATCCCCGATGGCCGCAGCATGATAAGGGCCATGTCGGAGAAAAAAAGGCTGGGAAACGGACTGGTAGGCCGATCCCCAACGATGGGAATTCACTTAGAGAAAAGGAGGTCCGAGAGAAAAGGAGGTCCGGAAGCTGCTCGACCTACACAATACCATAAATATTGAAACCGCAACAGAGACACAACCATGACAAGATATCATCAGCGAGACGGACAATAGACCGAAAAACGGCGGCGGAAAAGTACTGGTGGTTTAAGCTGTTTGACCTACACGCCAGCACAGATATGGTAGCCCCAACAGAAACACAGCCAGGACAAGATATCGTCAGCAAGATGGGCGATACACTGAACAGAGTCGTGTCCATGCCAACAGAATGCAAAAAAAAAAAAGGTGAACAAACCTTACATAACAACGCACATCAAGACACCTACATAGTACATACCATACGACAAGCCTCTTTTCCCTTTTGCTCTTCTTCTAATGTGGCTGTGACCAAAGAAGATATCCATCCACGACACTTCACATGACAGCATACGCTCAAGGCACCACCTACCACGCAAGCTCTTTCCTCTGCTTTTTTTTCTTTCTTTGACCTATTCTTTTAATGTGGTCAACTTGCCTGTCGGTCACTCAAAAACAGAACCAGCTGACAAGAATGGGTAATACTACTACTACTACTAATACATTAGATGAATTTCGATCACATGCCCCAAATGGAAACCAAAAGGACATCCACATTATCATTTTATTTCATCAAACACTAAATGCACCACACACAAACAAGTTCCAATCGCACCTCTCCACCATAAAAAAAATAAAAAGGTCACGACACGCAGACGAGAGTGAAAGCCGATGCAAAAGGACATTAGACTCATTAGTAGTAGTAGTAGTCGTAGTAGTAGTAGTAGTAGTAGTAGTAGAAGTAGTAGTTGTTGCTAGCGGTGTCTGCTCTTACCAGCACCACTAGCACCGACGGGTGCGTTGTTAAAAAAGAAAAAAAAGAAAAAGTAGTGGTAGTAGTAGAAGCAATCCAAAGCGTCAAAGTTAAACAACTAAAAAAGAAGTTCAAGAGAGCAACAATTGAAATTGTAGATTGGAGAAAGTGTAATAAGTAGGAGAGGCGTCCCCGACGCCGCGTTTAGACGGCTGCCTAAGCCGCCATCATCAGACTGGAAGATGGCGGTCAAGCAAAATAAAAAGGCCAAGAGAGCGAAAGCCGATGCAAGAGGATAGGTTTTGGATGGAACGAGACAGAGAAGCCGGATGCAGAAAGACGACGGTCAAACAAAAGGGAAACAAGACGGAAAAAAACTTCAAAAGGGGAAAAAAAAAAAAAAAGATGGAAAAGGGGTATAGTTACCGTGAACAGGGTAAACAAGATGGCAAACGAAGAGCGACGATGACGGTAAAACAAGGGAAAACAAGATGGGGAAAAGTCAAAAAAAAAAAAGAAAAAAAGAAAAAAGGGAGACGGAAAAGGGTAATACCGTAATAGTCACCGCGGACCGGGAACATAAGATGGAAAACGAAGACGATGTCAGTCTTGAGAACTTGGTGCTGGGTCAATCAGGGGGAAACAGTATGGAAACAAGATAGAAGAAAAAAACTTCCAACAAAGTCGAAAAGCAAAAAAAAGTTCCAAATAGTAAATACGGTTCTAGTTACGGTGAACAAGGAAACAAGACGGTAAAAACTTAAAAAAAGGGGATGACAGTCGTGAGGCCTTGGTGACTATAGAACAAGGGATAACTAGATGGAAAAGGTGGGTAATAGTTACGGTGGGGTATGAAGTTATTATGAACCTTTATCTGACTCTGCATGTGGAAAGGGGTAATACCGTAATAGTGACCGTGGGGTACGAAACTGTACCTGACTCTGGATGCAAGCTGAAGAGGGTAAGACAACGGGGAGAAAATATGGGAACAAGAGAGGAAAACAAACTGAAAAAGAAAACAATGGGACAAACCTTCACAAAAGGTAATAAATTAATAATTATGGTCAGCAGGGTAAACAGGATGGGAAAAACAAAAAGGATGGAAACAAACTTAACAAAGAGAATAGCCGCATCATCCGTGTCTGATGAGGGTCGACAGAACGACACCCGAGCACCTGCTGGCGGCAGGAAGAAACTATAAGAGTGGCAGTAATATGGGCCCTGTGAACGACCGGTGCAGACAGGGAGCAACTCCACCATTGCAGGCGTATCAGGGGAGAGGGTTGGAGAATATTAGAAGAACGGTCCTCCTAACAGATTTGCATCGCTGCAGGAGTGCATACGGAGAGGAGGAGGACAGGTTTTGCGATCCGTACAATCAGCTGATAATTCGGGATCCCCAGACTGGATATAAGCAGTCTGGCCCGGCCCTGCTGCGATGTGCCCCTCAAGCGTACGTGGCGTCGGGGCATCAATATGCTAGCACAACGCATTCCATGTGGGAATAGTGTGCTGTAAAATAGTCAGGACAAGGTGGGGGGGGGGGGG